CTTTTCTTTGGCACAGTCATTATAATTTACTGGCATCAGTTTACTTTTTTAAACTAGCATTTGCCACAAACCACAGATCCAAAATTAATCCGAGAGAAACCTAATGTTACATTGAAATAGACAGCATGTGTAGTGATTAACATCCCCGGTCATTAGATGGTGCTGCTTATTTTTAAATTATCGTAGGCATCCCGTTTTACAGACTATCCTGTTTTAGCCAACTCTCCCCTACTAGAAAATATATTGAGTGAAAAGGATCTGAAACTGTTTTTTGTGGCATGTGCATAATATTTAACCCTAGAACCACAAGGTGGAATTTGCGGAACGTTAGCAACAAGGTGGCGTCCGTTATATAAGACCGATAAAATATCTCTTTATATTTCAATCTCTGCTTTTTATAACTTTAGTTTTTACAGAAAAAAGTGTGTTTAATAAGTAGAAATTAACATTAGATACTGAAATTTTATTGGATTTATTAACACCAAAGTTATAACAGTTATTAAAAAATTGAAAAATGTGCCGTATTCGTAACTTAAACTATAAAACTAAAAAAAACATTGCGTCACCAAACGTTTTTATCAAAAAGTGTGTTGAAACTGGTAAAATACAAAAGATGATAGAATTATTACAAAAAAAGTCAATTACAATTTACACAAATGAAAGACGATGTTCGGCGCATACACTTTTATAGTAATGTTCACATTTATTTCTAGCATTTTTTGTCCTTTTTTCGGGGATATCAGTTATATCGACCTAATAAATCATTTATCTTTTGAGCAGCTTCTTGTTCTTTGCAATTCAGAAATTTACGAATATCATTGCTAATTTCTTTTAGAAGCGTGTATTGGTCATTTTTGTTTCAAATAATCTTCTACAATGGAATATGATAAATCTTTCAGAAAAGCGGGCCGTTTCTGTAATTTTGTTTTTCAGTTACATTTGTATATCACATAGGAATTGAATCTAGCAGTATCAATCATAGCATACAAAATTCGAAGTGGCCACCTGTGAGTTTTCCTCAAGACTGTTGTTAGATGACAAAGTTGATCAAAAGTATCAACGCCGCCTTTTGTTTCATTGTAGAACAAAATTATTTCAGGCTTCTTTGTTTTTTCGTCAATTTCTACTGTCGTGTGCATAGTTGATAACAATATTGTATTTGTCTTGTTTTTCTTGGGCACGTATGAAACTAACATGCTGTTTTCGTAAAAAAAAACAAAGATGAATCAATATGTTTTCCGTTTGTTTCCACTAATTGCTTTGAAATATCGGATTTATTTTTTCTGATTGTTCATACCAGGGTTAAATTTTTTTCCTGTAATTTTTCTGCGGCTTCGTACGAGGTAAACCAATTATCCATAGTGTAATTTCTATTTGTCCCATGAATATCTGTTGTAACCTCAAGCACGTATTGTGTTGGAATCGAACATTGACTTTTTCTTTCCTCCTTTCTAATATAAGGTTTAGCAGAGTACGTATAATATGTTTTCGCATCACAAATCGTAACGAGTTCGAGACCATATCGGTCGGGCTTATTTTTGATACACATCTTAAAGGAATAACGGCTCTAAATCCTAAAAGCGTCTTATCAATTGTTACATATTCCGATGGAGTGTACATTTGTCTACAGGTTTTGTCGAACATATCCCAAATATCAGTTATAGCTGCAAATTTATCAATCTTTCTTCTGAAGTTCAAAACGGTTCTTGTTCATGGTTGTCCTAAAGAGAACAGGTCCAAACATTGGTGACCATAAATCACTCAGTGACAACAACGCTCGTATTTCGACACTATCCGTTGCTCCAAGATACCATTGCTCGCTCTTATCTCTAATTTTCTTTCTTTGATTTCCTCATTAGTGTACTTTACAATTATACCCACCAGTTCTTTGCTAAAAAATAAACTAACATTTTTTTTGGATCCACCATATCTTTTGCTGGTCCTTTCGGTCCTGGCAAGTGAAGAACCAAGTTTTTTTTCGAAACCCTGTTATTTTTGCTATGAAAACTATTTAGACACCACCTACGCCCATTTTTAGCATATATAACACTTTGTGTTTTGGACTTATTTGTATTTTCTACTGCAATTTTCGGAGAGACATCAGGATTTTCTGGAATTAAGGCAACAAATTCATCATCCTGCGTATCCTCTATATCTATGTTGTCTTCAGTATCACTCTCATCGCTTTCTACAAACTCATCTGAGTCGCTAAAACCTTCGTTCGCCAATTGTTCTAACTTCAATTGTGTCAAAGGCCGTCTTTTCTTATAGCCATTGCTGCAACCGGGTGTAGCTACATCTAATTTAGACCTCTTTGACTCCATCCTTATAGTTAACCCTCTGCAAGAATTGTAAGAAATAAATAAATAAATAATTTCAACAAAACCTTTATATTTACCGTCGTAAAGACAGAAATTGGTGCACTATAAGTTATAGCCATAACCATAGTAGTGTATTATAAGTTATAGTTATAACCTACTCGACGATCAACTTACTTACTTACTTACTCCGTGGCGTTACAACCCTTCGTGGGTTTTAGCAGACTCGACAACATGCCTCCACTGTTTTCTGTCTTGAGCAACCTCCATCCAATTCTCCACGCCCATAGTGCTTAGGTCTCCTGCTATATTATCTCGCCACCGGAGACGAGGGCGTCCGCGTGGTCTCCTTCCAGTTGGGACTTCCTCCCACACCAGTCTTACTGTTCGTTCGTCAGAATGTCTTCTGAGGTGTCCTGCTCATTGGATCTTCTGGACTTTATTTCTTTTATGATGTTGGCGTCTGGGTAAAGTTCTTCAAGCTCTTTATTAGTTCTTATCCTATATTGTCCTGATGCTTCATCAAGCACCGGACCAAAGATCTTCCTTAGGATTTTTTTTTTCCAAACACGTAGTCTCTCTTCATTTGCCTTTTTATCGTCCACGTTTTGCTTCCATACATCACAACGGGTCGTATGATTGTTGTATAGACCTGTATCTTCGTACGTCGTGTTAGTTGTTTTGATTTTATAAGGTTTTGGAGGGCAAAAATACATCTGTTGCCGGCCTGAATCCTGTTATTTATTTCTTGTGATCCGTTATTGTCTTCAGTTATTGTTGTTCCAAGATACTTGAATTCTCTAACGCGCTCAAAGTTAAAGTCATCGATGGTAATGTTCTGACCGATTCTGTCTCTGCTTTGGTTATTGCGGCTCATATACATATATTTCGTCTTGTTTTCGTTGATTTGGAGCCCTATCTTCTCTGCTTCCTTCTCAAACATTACGAAAGTCTCCTTTATCCTTAATCGCGTGTTTCCTATTAGATCTATATCGTCTGCAAATGCCAGTAGTAAGTTTGGTCCTTCTCGATGAAATACTGTATTCGGTTTTTCGATTCTTGCACTTCTGATTATGTGCTCCAGAGCTAAGTTGAAGAGTTGTGGTGAAAGGTCATCTCCTGTTTTAGTCCATTGTTTATTTCAAATGTCTCCGAGTATTGTTGTCCAACTCTCACCTTACATCGTAACCGTTCCATACACATCCGTATCAACCGGACTAGTTTTTTTGGAAAGCCAAGTTCCTGCATCGCTGTCCACAGTCTGTCCCTACATACTCTATCAAATGCTTGTTTAAAATCTATGAACATCTGATGAAGCTCACGATCAAACTCCCAGCATTTTTCCATTATCTGTTTTATTGTCAATATCTGGTCAATTGTAGAGCGGCCCGGTCTAAATCCGCATTGATAATCTCCAATGATTTCTTCTGTGTATGTTTTGGTTCTTTCTAGCAGGATGTTTGCAAGGATTTTGTAGGTGGTGTTTAGGAGTGTTATTCCCCTGTAGTTAATACATTGCTTTTTGTTTCCTTTTTTTGTGTATTGGTACAATAACCCCTTCTTTCCATTCATCTGGCATTGTTTCTTCCTGCCAAATGTCTTGAATTTGCTTGTATATCGAACTGTACAAGGCTTCTCCTCCATGTTTTAAGCACTCTGCGGGTATACCATCGCTACCTGGTGTCTTATTATTTTTGAGTTTTTTAATTGCCTGTATTACTTCTTTGTATGTCGGGTATTGGTCTTCTACTTCAGCTATGTTTGATGTACTTTTGCTAGATTGGTCATTCAATAGTTGATAGAAGTATTCCTTCCAGGTTTTTAAGATTTCCTTGTCATCAGTGATAAGCTGTCCGCTGTCGTTTTGAAGAAAGTTTCCTGTTCTTGCTTGGTACCCGGTCTTGATATCTGAAACTCCTTTAAAGAACTGCCTCACTTGTTTGTTCTTTCTTTTTTCTTCTATATTTCTGATTATTTGTTCCTGATACTCTCTCTTCTTTCTTTTCATTAGTTTTCTTGTCTCTGTTCTTCTTTGTCTATACATTTCATTGTTGTTGTGCGAGGGGTTTTGTAGCATGTTCCTTCTAGCCATATTTCTTGCTAATATGGAGTTCAGGCAATCATTATCGAACCATTTTTTTGTTGTTTTCTTTTTGTGTCCTAGTATTTCATCTGATACGCTTGTCAGAGCTACTTTGATATTTTTCCAAGCTGAGTCTATGTTGTTATAGTCTTCGGTCTGTGCTAGAGTGATTTTTATAGCCTTTTGAAATTTCTGTTCTGTCACCTTATTACGTAAAACTTCGGTATTCCATAATTGTGTTGGTGTATTCTTGTGTGTCGTCGATCAACTGGTAACTAAAAATGCGAAAGGTAGATAGATGCTTACTGTTTAGCTGCGCCAGCACAATGCAATCAGTTTAATTGCGGATAGTAGGATTCGCCGGTCACGGGCGACTACACCTTGTGGTTCTAGGGTTAAGTTAAATATTGTGATTTTATGGGATTTAGCCACAATATATTATTCTTTTCTATTGGCTTTGTATTGCTTGATCCATTCATCCACGATAGATAATAATTATTGTGTACAATTATTTTAGTTTTTTTTAATCCAAAATTATATCGCATACCTATAACTGATAATTATTATTACATTTTTATTGCCGACTTAACTTTTTACAGTCCTGCCCTGCAAAAGTCGATGGAGATTTATTTTGGCCTGACACAGAAGAATCATCTTGCTCCACTTCTCAGCCCATATGCCTCAATACAAATTTAGAAATATCAAAAAGATGTTGTGGGGAAAACTCTATATGGGATGAATCTCCGAAATGTTATTCACTCCAACAAGACATAATAAATCCTTGTCCGGACGCATTTGTTGGAGTAGACAACATTTGTATGTTTGCCATAGTTACGACGTACCCTCCGAATTGTCCATTTGCGGAAACTTTGCCTTATGACGAATATGCAGAATATATTCAAACGGTTCAATATCCCATTTGGTTACCGATCAACAGAGAGGACGGAACATATGGAAAAGGTAATATTTACTTGTATTGGTATATATAATCAGTTTGGGCGGAATTTTTAGTTCATATTTTCAATTCAAATGAATGTTATCTATATGAATATTAAAAATAATTATTTTTGTAAATATATAATCAAGACAATTTTGTTCAGACTGTAAACTTTTACCCGCATTCTGTATTTTATTCTCTATATACATTTATAGACATACATTTATTTATACCAATAAAATATACTGCCCAATAATGACAACATATACATATATAAATTTACATGAGGTGACGACTACCCAAAAACATCGGACAAACTGGTAGAACCTTTAACAAACGTATAATAGAACACAACAGGGTTTTCAATACCAAAAAACAGATTCTTCGTACACACTTCACCTTTTAGATCATTATCATTCTTTTAACGACCAATTTCAAAGTCTCCACTTTCAAAATAAAGGCCTGAAGCTATCTTTATTAGAATCTATGAAAACTAGTAAATTTAAAAATACATATATAATTATATAATGTATGATTGAACTTGATACAAACAGCTAATTTAAAAAAACAAATGCTCATATCGTATTTATTGATCTTAAGAAAGCATATTTCCTATCCGTCCTGTTCCGAGGCAATAGTTTCTGTTTCGTGGCTCCAAATTTTGACATGTACGAACGCCAGCCCATAGCACAACCCCCTTTTCGAAGAACCTTTTCACCCGTTCTCGTCAGTTCCTGACCCAACTTTCCACCCGGGCTGCATACCGGATCTTCAATTGGGTTGTTTGGTTTAACAGGAGGCACCATCGTGATGAGTGAGAGTCGGATTTGAGTAGAAGAGGCTAAGTGGACTAAACTGCAAGCAACTCCTCGACTTCCCTTAAGATCCAACTGCTAAAAAGAAAATCTAAATTAACACTATACAAGTCGATTATTCGCCCAATTATTACATATGGCAGTGAAACATGGACTCTCAACCAGCGAGAAATCAATAAGCTTCTAGTATTTGAGAGAAAGGTTCTCAGAATAATATTTGGCCCTCAAAGAGATGAATTCGCAGGGGATTGGAGAAGACGCCGCAATGCTGAATTGGGGACTCTGTATGGAACTGAAAACATAGACATATCAAGGCAAACCGAATAAGATGAGCAGGTCACGTGGTACGATCAGAGGATGACAAAGTGTTAAAGACAGTGTTTTTTGAAAGACCAGATGGTAGAAGATCAGTAGGCCGACCGAGAAAAAGATGGAACGATGATGTTGAAGCCGATTTATCTAGAATTGGGGTACAACAAATGTAAAATAGAAGCACAAGATTGTAGAAGATGGAGGGGATAGTGGATGTGGCGAAGACTCAACTCGAGTTGTAAAGCCAGTGAAGAAGAAGAAGAAGAAGAAAAGCATAGAATTAGCGAAGTCGACTCCGTATAGGGATAAACGCAAAGAGAATAAGGGTTATAATATGAACAGCATAGTCGAATTTGACATTTAAGAGTATACATTCTAGAGAATATATTTCGTTGATTAAAAAAAAAGAAAAAAAACGCATATGAGCTGGTATATATGGTATATACTACTACTACTAAGGATTTCCACAGTTTTCACTGTCTTCCTTCACTCAACCGTTTTCTCCAATTTTCCCTGTCATTCCAGTCTCCATCTCGCAGGGTTCTTTTCTCCATAGCCTCGTCGATTTCGTCTCTGAATGACCTTCGGGGTCTTCCTCTCTTTCTTCTTCCGATCGGGCTCCATTCTGTGATTTTGTTTATCCAGCGTCCTCTGTCCGCTCTTCTGACGTGGCCGTACCAGGATAGTCTCTTCTCCTCTATATAGTCGATTATGTCTGATTGCACTCCCATTCTCCGCTTAATCTCTGCGTTTTCAATTCTGTCTCTTTTTGTAAGTCTACAGCTTCTCCTGAGGAATTCCATTTCTACTGCTCTTATTCTACCTCTATTTCTCTTGTTTATTGTCCAGTTTTCGGACCCATATGTCAGGATACTTCTTGTCAGGGTATTATATATTCTCTTTTTTGTCTTTATCGTAATGTTTATCCCACAGCACTGAATTTAGTTGTCTTATACAGTTTCTTGTTTGTCTTAGTCTGTTGTTTATATCTTCTTCTGTTGTTCCCTGGTTCGACATTATGGTACCTAAATACTTGAATTTATCTGTTCCATTTACTTGTCTTCCCTCGTCTATCTCTAGGTTTCTCATATCCTTGTTTTCTGTTGTTAGGTATTCGGTTTTCTCTAAGTTTATTTCCATTCCGTTGTTTTTATATTCTTCTTCTAGTTTTCTGAGCATAAAGCTGAGATCTTCTTCATCTTGTGCGATGACTACTTGATCGTCGGCAAAACTTAAGGTGTATAGGTATTCGTCTCTTACTGGTATGCCCGTTCCTTCGCACTTTCTCCTCCATAGTTTGAGTGTCTTTTCCAAGAATATTTTAAACAGAGTAGGGGACGTAGCACAGCCTTGTAGAAGTCCTTTTGTCGTCTTAAATGGATTGTAGGCTTTATTTCCACATTTAATAGCTACTTTGTTTTCTTTGTACAGTGCTTTAACTGCTTTTATTAGTGTTTGTCGGATTCCGAGATCATTCATTGCTTCCCATAATTTGACTCTAGGTATTGAGTCGTATGCTTTCTTTAGATCAACAAACGCCAGATGGACCGGTCTACCTTTTGCCATTTTCTTCTCTATCAGTTGTTCTAATGTGTACGTATGATCTAGGCATGATTTTCCTACTGTGAACCCTGCTTGGTCTTCTCCAATTTTTCCTATTATTTCAGTTTCTAGTTTTTCCTTGATAATTTTCCCGTAAAGTCTACCTACCGACGATATTATACTAATTCCTCTGTAGTTTTCACATTTTTTCCTGTTTCCTTTCTTATGTATGGATGTGATGTATGCTTGTGTCCATTCCGCAGGTATTTCCTCTCCATTTAGTCCTCTTTCGAACATTCTGTGTAGCATGCGGAATAACTTTTCCGTTCCGTTTTTAATTAGTTCGTTTGGTATCCCTCCGGGTCCTTTGGCTTTTTTGTTCTTCAATGTCTTGATTGCTCTCTTGACTTCTGTCAGACTTATTTCTATCTGGTCGTATGTCCCATTTCCTGCATGTTCTGTATTCTCTTCCTGAAATTGGGGACGGTTTTCTGTAAGTAGTTCTACGTAGTATTCTTGCCACTCGTTTTCACTAATTTTGCCGATCTGGGTTTTCTCTGTCTTATTTCGTTGGAGTGCTTTTAGTATTCGCCATGATTCTGAATTTCTCGTTCCTCCGATATGTCGTTCTATCTCTGTGCATGCTTGTTCCCATCGTTCGTTCTTTTCATTTGTTATTTTTTTCTTTACCTCTCTGTTTTTCGCTCTATATAGGTCTAAGTCTTCCTGTTTTTTGGTGTTTAGGTATTTTATGTGTAGTTTTTTTTTCTTTTATACATTTTAATGTGTCTTCCCTTAATTTGATATTCTGATGGGTGTTCCTTTGGTCGTCTTCTCCAAGAGCTTCTAAGGCCGCTGAAATCAGGCAGGTTTTTATGTGTTCATGCATTTCATCTAACGTGTCATATCTGAATTCTTCTAGTTTTTGGTCTAGTCTTCTTTTGTATAGATCTTTTATGATTCTTCCTGTAATAGATGTAATTTGACCTCTTTCGTTTATTGTCGTTCCCGTTGTAACAATCGATGTATGTTTTTGTTTTATCCAGATATAGGGGAATTCCATCCATGCCACCACAAGTTTGTGATCTGTTCCACACTCTGCCCCTCTTTTCACTCTGGTGTCTTTCACTTTGATGGAGCTTTTTTGGAGCTTTATATGGAGCTTTATTTTATGGTATATAAAGAGCATAAACTAAATAATAGCTGCAATGGAGAAAAACTGGGAAAAGAAAATAAAAAAAATGTCTGGATTGCTTGGAAATCCAAGCAGCCATGCCATCTGTGGTGTGTATGTATCGCTATATTATTTGCCTTCAAATCTCCTCACTGTTATAACTTTAATATTGTTTTTTTTATTTATGGAGAATTTATTATCTTTTTTATTATAGGTTTGTTCTACTGGAACGAGCAGTCCGAACTTTATAAAACACCAAGCGGTTTTAACGTTTCTTACGATGAACTGCTTTTAGATAATCATTGTTTAATTTTGATTAAACCACAATATGTAAAAGCTGTGCCATGTGACGAACTACATACAGCTATATGTGCCTATAGAACTTTACCAGAGAGAACAAAATCATTTTGCTCACAAACTTTGGGTCTGAATTGTAAACAGAGTTCCTACTCTCCCAAATCAGTATGTTTCTGTAAACAATATCAATCAAACGGAAATAAAATTGAGTTGCAGATGCCATACCAAAATCTGCTTTACACATCTCTAGATGAAGTTTGTGACATAGGATTAGAAAGAAAAGACAATCAATATTTTTGGACCTACTCAAATGTATCTATTGAGTACACCAACTGGTCGCCTAATACAGAATTTGGTACAAATTTTGCATATGGTGCCATGTCTTCTGATGGATGGGTATTGAGGGAAAACAAATTTGATAATAAATGTAGTCTTATCGAGACATTTCCTCCTAACCTCAACGATTCGCTGGTTTTAAATTATAATAATATATCTTCTATATTTACTGTATCGGTTACCAATGCTGCTTACTGGAAGCAAAAAGATAATGTGGAGGAACCTTTGTTGTTTTGTTATACCGATGCAGCCGAAGATTTAATAGTGAAAAGATTGGATATTACAAAAGGTATTAATAATAATATTTTTACGTTTTTGGCATCGGATGGACCTGGACACTATTGGTGTGAAGGATTTTTATATCCAGAACTAGAAGTGAGAAAATCTAACGTTTATTTCTTACCGTAAGTATTTAAATTAATTAAAATATTATTACTATAATTTGAATATTATTTTAATATTATTATTATAATTTGAATTGTTTTATATTCACTTTATTGTTTTATTTGATTTAATTTCTGATTTTTTTTTAATTTGTTACTGTGTAATAGTATATTACATAACGAGAGTTGTAAGATGCTTATTACATGCGAGTAAAAAAGTTGCGCGCGACCCGCGTAGCGGTGAGCGCAGTAATTTTACAAGCATGTAATAAGCTTACAACTTACAACAAGTTGTGTACTATACTTTTTCTACCATTATTTTCGTTTATAAAAAATAAAACTTAAATTACCACTATATTTACACTGACAGTTTTAATAATTTTGAATCTGACAAAATAACGTCTGTTAATTCGTTTCCATGGTAACTCGACCAACTGACTTACAAGGCTTATGTGATATTACACATTTTATAAACAGAACCGTAATTTTTTTATTACGTGCTAGTCATTACGTGTCAGTATCTGTTATGATGCATTTACTTCCATCCAAATAGTAGGTAATAGACAATTTACTAGTAAGAGAGTAGAAAAAAAAGATATAATAAAAATAATTGTTTCAGTCATATGCATTATGTTATGCATTTAAATTATCTACTAGATACTAATACACTTAATATTCACTATTTTTTAGACCTTTTGAATAATGTTATTCAATTTAATCAAATTAAATTTACAGAAATTTTTGTAAAATGTTTTCATATTATGTACGTCTCTAAAAAATGCGTTTATTTCGAAAACTTTTTAGTTTTCGAAAAAACACGTTTTATTTATTTGAAACAGGAATACCTTATTTGTGTAAAATTAAATGTTATTTCATGTTTTTTCCTAGAATGTTTATACAGGGCAGACAAAAAATTATGGCCACATTAATGAACCAATGTTATAGTAGGTAGCGCCACCTAGTGTCAATGGTAAAACTAATATTATTTTCATATTAATCATACTAAATAATAGCAAGATACCAAATTTCATTTAAATCGGTTGAATAGTTTTCAATATATTACTAAAAATAATATAAAAAAATATTAATGAATCACGCTGTAGAACGAAAACAAGCAACATTTTGCCTAGGCAATTTGAGATCAAACGCTTTATTTTGATGTCAGCTATCACCCATTAGCTAATTTCCAATTAATTATGGGACACCCTGTATAGTACAAATTTTAACGTGAATAATTTAAAGATAGTAACATACAATGAAATAAGTAACTAAATAAGGTCTTAAAATATTTAAGTAACCAGTAAATATTTTTCCAAAAAATATTAATTAAAATTTTGTTTTAGACCAACTAATCCTGAATATATCGCAGTATTCTTCCATCATTTTACAGCAGATAACAATCCACTTTCTACGGAATATCTGCAGTATGTTCAAAACCTTCTCAAAACTGGAATTCTAGAGAGTTTACCATTAACTTCTCTGTACCCTCGGATCATGAAAATAGTCGATATTTTTGCAACCAATTCCACAGCCGTTTTAAATTTTCATTTAACAACGAAAACTGATGTCGATTTATTCCAAACATATTCCGATTTACTTAATTTAGACGTAGAAAATTTTTTTTTAACCAGCATGTTAATATATTCTACGTGTATTGGATCAGAGACACAAAATGCAGAAGGCAAAAAGGTTTTATGGCCAACAACACCGTTTGGAGAAACCGCTGTTAAACCCTTTAATGATTGGTGTGTCAATAAGGAGGGAATTGTTATTACAAGGACTTGTGGAGGTATTTTTTATTTTTTGTTGTACATTTATGTCATTAATTATAGAGTTGACGGTTGATAAAAAATCATTTTTAATAATATAAAATACCTAAATAAATTCTTTTCTTTATTTGATTTTGTTCTATAAAAGGTACAAATTAATATAACATAATACACAAAATTAAGTAGATAATTTCTTACAAAAGAATTAAATTACATAAAATAAAATATATATAAGTATAATGTCATGTCAATGACAATGGAAACCCCATAACAAAACAAACCATTTTTTCTCCCAAACAAACAGTTCCTAGTTCCTCTAGCTCCTCCAATACAAAAAAAAGAAGCAAAAATGTAGTTTTTCTGTCAATCACAGTATATCTATACAGTCCCTCCTGATAATATAATTAAATCTATGGAGAACTCTTACGGTAATCTCAGAAGCATTAAAATCGCCAACAGATATTAAAGCACTCATTATAACTATGCAATTAATAAACCCAATTTTTAAAAGAAGATCTATAAAAATCAGAATTATACGCTTAATTAAAAATATTAAAACTAAAATACTTTCTGGAATATATGATTCTAAAAGTATAGATAGTCTTGATAATCCCCGGGATACTGATGATACAGAGTACTGGTCCGATAGTTCACAAACCTCCCAAAACTCCAAACATTGTACATATTAATCTCAGCCTTCCACATTGATACAATGGAACTGTGATGGATTTTATCCTCGTCGACCATTCCTTAAACAGCTTATTCTATGTTTTCTGCAGATTTCCTATGCCTACAAGAAACTTCGTGCCAAAGGCGAAGCTCTAATTTTTGTTTCCACTGATATTTTTAGTTGTCCCTATCCATTGTCTTTTGTCCGCTAAGCACGTATTCCCATATTTCTCATGTCTTCATCGATGTTATCAAGGAACCTTATTCTGGGTCTTCCTCTTCTTCTCTGACGAATGGGTCTATCAAGAAGCGTTTTTCTATCTCTATCGCTTAATATGTTTTACGATATCTAGCTTTCCTGGTATATTCTATAAAGTTCTAAGTTGTATTGTCTTCTCCACACTCTATTGTCATTGACTGCTCCATAAATTTGCCCTAGTACTTTTCTTTTGAGACATCCTAACAAGTTTTCATTACTTTTTGTTAGAGTCCAGGTCTATGAACTATATATTAGGACATGGGCGTATTAATGTTTTGTAGAGTTTTATTTTAGTATTTCTCAATATAATTGTGTATTTAAGGAGGAGATTAAGTCCAAAATATCATCTGTTGTCTGTAAAAAACTGTAAAAATTCTGCGGTTTATCTCTGCGGTAATATTATTTTTGTTCAAGCTAACTGGGAACTTTTCAGAACCACTGTTAAGGAAAAAATCGATAACCTACACTTTAACGATGACGTAGATACAAATGTAAGACTTTTGGACTGAATGTGCTGAGGAATGTATTGGTAAATATGAGATTGGTCGTTCCAAAAAACTACCTGTGAAGTAAATCTCTCAAAATGACAGCCAAACAATGCAAAAAGCATTGAATGAATTCCGGAAGACTTGTACGATCACGAATCTAATAAATTTGAAAAAACTTTAAATTTAGCCAAAAACAGGTTCCAACGTTATGGTGACAAACAACTACTATTTCCTGTCAGAAAGATCTTCAAATATTATAAAATTATATAGACAAGTTTCTCCCACTGGTTCACTATGTAAAACTGTAAGAAAAGGTCAATAAACGCTTGGCTATCGAATCTAGAAAGAAATAATATTCCTGACCCATTCCAAACAAGCTTCAGATCAAATCGAACTACAAGGGATAACTTAGTCACACTACACACTAATATAAACATATTTTCGAATAGAAGCGAAGTCATAGCAATAACTTTAGATATTCAAGTGCCTTTGACATTGCACAAAGACCTCTTTTCTCGAAAAATTAGTAAAATATAATTTAACTAGTTACATTTATTTATTTTTTAAAAATTCATCGATTGAATTTATCAATCAATTCAATTCGAAAGACATCGATTGAAGGAAATTTACTTTACCAAAAATTAATTTTTATTTACTTTCTATAACTCTTAATGGATTTCGTTTACAAACATAACTATTTGATACTTCTGGGTAACGCCTTTGACAAAAAGCGTACCTGGAGACAGCGCATTCATCAACTTTGAGAAACTGTGTCCAAAGAATCAATTTACTTACATTATTTGTTGGTTGCTCTTGAGGAAATGATGAGAAATATCTCCGTTAATCCGCTCTAAGCTAGAGTATGGCAGAATTCTTTATATGTCATCCAGTAGCTAGTCACTAAAGTCTTTAAACACAACTCAAAATCCATATCTACGACTATATCTTGGTGGTTTTAAATCAAGCCCTGCTGAAAGTGTTTGTGTTCAATCTTTAGAGCCGCCAATCCATCTAAGAAGGCAACAACTTCTACTTTCATAATTTGTAAGAATATCAGCAAACCGAAGTAACCCGATTATAAATCTAATCAATATCATAGAGCCTCCTCCAGCAAATGCATCCAACCACACACTTACGTTACCACAAAAAATGTGTCGAGACACGTTAATTATATATAGATTTTCTTCGTTAATTTTTTCCACTTCTTTCGGTCATTTGCTCTCTTTTTCCCCAATTCTGCACTCCTATACCATTTAAATCACCTTTGACTGCTTCTAACCACTTTTTCCGCGGTCTTCCTTTCTTTATTTTACCCCGCCTCCTCCAAAAAGCACCTTTTTTACACAATTTTTCTTTAGCATTCGCATGATGTGACCTAACCACCTGACTCTCTGTGCTTTGACTTTTTGTACAATCAGGAGTTTTCCGTACATCTCAATTACCTCTTCATTTGTTCTTCTTTGCCAGTTTCCCTCCGCCGTCCTATTACCACCAAAAATGTTCCGCAACACCTTTCTCTCCCAGATCTCGATTTTTATTTCATCTTTCTTATTCATAGTCCAGGTCTCACAGACATACACTGCCACTGACCGAATGACTGTTTTATATATTTGAATATTTACTGTCCTACATACATTTTTTGCTTTTAGAATATTGTTTAATGATCCCACTGGTCTACTTCCCCTTTATTTGTTATTGTTACACATAAATACTTGAACTGGCTGATATTTTCAATTTTGCAATCCTTTCCTCTCATTCTAAGTGTGACTAATTTATTCTGTTCTGATATCTCAGATTCGGACAAAGAAATGAAAGAGGCGAAATGTTTTTGGGTTTCTTGGTACGAAATGGCCTCTTTGCAATGAATAGCTTTTTCAAAAAAGTCCCCAAAGAAAATGGACCTGGGCAAGTCCAGATGGAGTCACCAAAAATGAAATTGATTTTGTCTTAACCAACAACAAAGACATGATCCATGATGTAACAGTTCTTAATAGCTGTTCAGTGGGAAGTGATCATAGAATGGTAAGAGCGAAGATCGTGCTAAATCTCCAAAAACAAAGATACAAAATGATAACAAAAACACACCCAATAGAATGGAATCCAATCGAAAACACCATGTCCTTCGAAGAGGAAATTCTGAGATGCCTAGAGACAACAAATATAGACGTTATGGATATCGAAACCTTAAATGATAACTTAATAAAAGCTATTAAGAACGCAGAGAAAAAGTGCAATACAAATTCTAGGAGAGATAAGGAGGAAAAGCTCAGTCAAGAAACAAAAAGACTTATGGAGGCACGAAGAGAACTTAAGAACAAAAACGATACGAATGCACGCGTACTACAACAACTTAATAAAGATATTAATAAAGCAGTGAGAAAGGACGTACGACAATATAACACAAAAAAGATTACAACGGTTGTCGAGAAAAATAAAAGTTTAAAGGTGCTGAAGAGATGTCAAGCTCTAGATAAGAAGAACATTGTTAAGCTCGCAGATCGAAATGGAAAAGTGGTAACAGATAAAGATAAGATAATTAAGGTAGTTGAAGAATTTTACACAGAATTATATAGAGAAAGGGGGAAGAAAGACGGCACCAAGTTGAGAAAAGTCCAGAATGTGGGTTCAGAGGATATCCCAGAAATAACAATCGAAGAAGTCTTAAAGTCATTAAATAGAATGAAAAACAATAAAGCAGCTGGTGATGATCAAATCGTTATTGAGGCAGTTAAAGCAGGAGGAAAGACAGTATTGAAAGCATTGACGCAATTATATAACTTATGCCTTTCAAACGAGGTTACACCATCTCAGTGGAATAAAGCTGTTATAGCAGTCATGCACAAAAAGGGAGATATAACAGAGCTAAAGAACTATAGACCTATTAGCTTGTTATCTCACGTTTATAAGTTGTTTATGAAGATAATAACTAATAGGTTGACATCAAAACTAGACTTCTATCAACCTTGCGAGCAAGCAGGATTTAGAGCTGGATACGGAACAAATGATCATTTGCAAACCATTAAGTCGTTGATTGAAAAAACCATTGAATATAATAGACCCCTGATACTTGTCTTTGTCGACTTTGAAAAAGCATTTGATACGGTCAATCAAAGTGAAATGCTCCAAGCTCCAAACACAATGTAGAATAGATCACCGATACATATCTCTCATCAGATACATCTATCAACATGCTACAGCCTGTGTAAGACTTAATGAAGATACTGGGACTTTTCGTATTGAAAGAGGCGTTCGGCAAGGAGACAACATGTCTCCTAAATTATTTACAACTTTGCTAGAATACGCTTGTAAAACAATAGATTGGAACGAAAAGGGCATCAATGTAGATGGAAAATTTTTAAATAACCTTAAATTTGCAGATGATATCGTTCTTATTGCAGACAGCTTTGATCAGGCACAGATAATGCTCCAAGAACTCCATACTGCCACAAAAAGAGTTGGTCTTAAAATAAATTTTTCAAAAACACAATTTATGACAAATTTAGTCCACAACAAAAACATCTCAGTAGAAGACAAAGATATTGAGCCAGTTGACTCCTATAAATACTTAGGCCATGAGATCAGAATAAGTCGAGACAACCAAACAATCGAGCTGAAAAGAAGAATAAACCTCGCTTGGGCTGCATTTGGAAGGATGAAGGATATTTTTAGGTCTAAGATTCCAATGTGTCTGAAAAGAAAAGTATTTAATCAATGTATTTTGCCAGTGATGACCTACGGCGCAGAAACCCTAACGCTCACAAGAACAACAGTGAGTAAACTACAAGTTGCGGAAAGAGCAATGGAGAGAATTATGTTAGGGATTTCTCTACGTGATAGAATACCCAATGCTACTATACGCAAAAGATCAGGAGTAGCAGACGTTATTGAAAGGATAACAACACTAAAGTGGAACTGGGCAGGTCATGTAGCAAGATCAGTTGATGACCGGTGGACAAAAAGAATTTTGGAATGGAGACCCCGAATACAAGCTTACAGAAATAGAGGTCGACCCCCAACGAGATGGACAGATGACATAAAAAGAGTGACTACAAATTGGATTCAGATGGCGCAAAATCGGACTAAGTGGAAAAGCATGCGAGAGGCCTATGTTCAGCAGTGGACGTTAGAGGCTAGTTGATGATGATGATGATGAGATATCTCACCACTCATTTCCATATACTTTATTTTCGCTTCGTTTATTGCTTTTTTCTTGCTGCATCTTCAAAGTGCTTAAACATGTGTTCAAGTTCTTTTTTTTGTTGTTGTTAAAAGGACTGTTAAACATTGCCGTTTATAGTGGGAAATGGTACCCGTACTTTGGATCTTATTTCTCTCATTTTTGCCTCCAAGACAAAGATAGACAGATCAGTAGAAAGTGGATCCCCTTATCTTAATTCACTTGTAACCGAAAATATATTTGACATACTTCCTTCTATAAACCACTCTATTGACTGTACCTGTTAGCGACATTTTATCAACTATTTTGTAGAGCTTTATACAACTTCGATAACAACGATCGATAGTGTCATACGCCTGTTTAAAATCAATAAAGAGCATGTGCAGTCCTAAGTTCTGTTCGTAACTGTTATTTTGTATCAATTTTAAGGTGAATATTTGATCCACTGTCGAGCTTCCTGCTCTAAACCATCAAATCTATTACGTATGAGCTTTGCTAATGTTTTGTACACAACATCCAGTGGAACTCGACCTGTGAGCAATTTGGTAATGAAAATAAACATTAAAAAAAACCAAAGTGATGTCAATCCGAAAAAACCAAAACGTACCTCAACCTTGCACAATAAATGGGCACATCTTAGAACAGGTCAATAGATTTAAGTACCTGGGATGTTGGATCGATAGCAGCCTAAATCCTGATCAAGAAATAAGATCGAGAATAGAACAGGCTAGAAAATCTTTTGAAAAAATAAAAAAACTTTTGTGATTCTCGAATAAAACTCGAAATTCGACTACGTTTTATCAAAATGCTACGTCTGGTCGACTCTTCTATATGCAGTGGAAACGTGGACCCTTAAAACAACAACCGTAAATAAATTGGAGGCCTTTGAAATGTGGATCTACCGGAGAATACTCAAAATTTCATGGACATCGCATACCTCAAACGAAGAAGTGCTGCATAGAATAGGCAAGGAAAGAGAACTTTTTAACACAATTAAAGTAAGAAAAACATCATACCTAGGCCACATACTGAGAAATAATAAGTACCAATATGCCCAACTTATAGTGAAAGGAAAAATCGAGGAAAGAGAGGCCTAGGAAGGAAAAGACTATCATGGCTCAGAAACATCCGACAATGGACAGGGCTAAATTTTAAACAGCTAAAAGAAACAGCTGAAGATAGAGAAGAGTTTAAAATTGTAGTAGCCAACCTCCATTGAGGAGAGGGCACTTTAAGAAGAAGAAGAAGATCCAGTGGAACTATCCCTCTGTAATTATCACAAGGGGTTCTGTCAAATTTTTTATGTATTGTGCAAATTACTCCATCTCTCTGGCATTTTCTCATCTCTCCACACTCTCAGTATCAAATCACATAGCTTTCTTTACAGTATGACCCTTCCTCCCTTTAAAATTTCCGTCGAGATTCCATTCTCCCCTGCGCTTTAAATGTTTTTTAGCGTAATTTTATTGTTTCCTTTATTTCCTGTTTCCTCTACGTACTTCTCATTCTCATCAAAAAAACATTTAATACTTTTGAAAGCTATTAGAGTTATGTAAACATTTTACCGATAATATCTTGAATTTTATTTTCAAATTAAATTTCGTGAATTTTATGTTTTAATATGCAATAAAAATGTTTTTACAATTACATATTATTTTAAGTATTGAATCATGATTTTACTGAAACATAATTTGCATATTCTATTTTCTAGGTAACTTTATCGATGGAGCTGTTTGGTCAGAATTGGACAGAAATTGTTTTAGTCCAGAATCAGTGAGCCCTACGTTAATTTTGGCAAATTTACTTAAAGTAAAAGATCCGTTTTTGTATATATCTTTAGTAGCAACTACTATTAAAAGAATTTCAGTCATTACAGTATACGATGTAGAGTTGTGCGTTAAAGTATCTAAAGCTGTTAGAAGATTCCAGCTCAAGGATTACATCGCTCTCCGACTTCACTTCCTTAATAAGTGGAATTATGCAAATACCACCAACAATTTTAAAGCAATCTCAACAGACTTACAAGAGTACCGATAGTATTCTTCATAGTGTTGGTAAAATTTTAGAAAAAATTGATAATGTTACCAGCGAAACAACTAATTATCTATCAATTGTTATATTTTCTATTGAGGATTTCTACAGCGACACTCTCATATGGACAAAAACTGATAATGATGTCTACAGTATTAAATACGTCAATTCAACTGATATGAATATTTTTGAACTAGAGCAAGAAGAAGACTTTGACTTGGGTCTTAGATTTAACAAAGGTTTAATAGAGAATGCCACGAGAAGTAGTGATTGTAAGAAAATAATAGTAATTGCTTACTTCAAGCCCACGTTGTTTAACGAAGACGTTACAAGAAATTACACTTCAACAGTATTCACTACAATATTTCCAAATTTAGACGAAACAAATTCTGATATACAAGATTTGGTGACAACCATATACAAGCACGATAATCCGTTAAGCGAATATATTTGCTCGTACTGGACAGAAGGCTACTGGTATCATAAAAACGTAATCGTAGAAAGTAACAAAACCTATGTTTGTTCATTTCAAAAAATGGCTAATGTTGCAATGGTCTCCAAAGCTGAACTGAGCGAACTTCTGGTAGACTTTCTACAACTTGAGTGCGATGAAGCATTGGCGAAGACACTGAAATTATTGAAAGAACATTTAAATAGTTTTACTGCTGCAGATGTTGAAAAACTCTATTACCTCTTAATAAAATGTGAAGATTTTACAGATACGGATATAATCATGAACATCATTGATAAAATTTTACAAATGCCCTTGAAAATTATTACACATGCAATGGAGAATTATTCGCTTAATTTTCTTGATTTATTAGAAGCGATTTTAGAATGTCGACAAAAATCATACATATCTGAGTTCAAGCATTTCGCGGTAGCCGCACAATATTTGAAGGAAGACAACCTCACCGGATTTTATATAGATTGCCATCAGTTCAAGTGCCAAATAGTTTTCACGCACGACTATAACGAAATCCATCAATAGTGAGCTTTACATGGTGATAAACAAAGAGTTATTGGCAGAATTGATAAAGTTCGAGGTTAAGAAGATAGTCGTTACTTTATTTGCGAATGACGTTTTCTTTAGCTCTAGACAAGAATATACCAATACAGCTTTGTCTAAGGTGGTTGGAGTTATAATTCCAAATTTTACACAGCTTCAACGATTTGATGGATGCATTTCTGTTACTTATGTCCTTGGGGCCGGAAGTAAAAATGAGTCTTGTCAAATTTGGAATAATAATCTTTGGGTCAGAAATAATGCAGTACAACAACTCAGACATGGAACGTATAGATGCGATAACTGGTATCCGGGGTGAGTATTTTTTTTAATAATATTGTTAGTGTAATTTGTAGTAGGCAAGCGATTTACCCCTATAAGCAGAGCATCAACCTACTAAAATTCTTTTTGCATTTCTATGCACCAAACCTTTTTTATTCGATTCTATATATTTTTCCAAGATAAAATGTATTTTTTTTTAATTTTTACAAGTGGGCCGGCAATTGTTATTAACAAATAACTTATACAAAAAAGCAATTTCACCGAATTGTTTCGGAATTAATTTTTTTAGGTGTATCTCGTCAAAATAAACACTTTTTCTCTCTGATAATTTTTCGAAAAATGCTTCCTTTTCAAGTTATTTGCATTTTTTTGTTGAAAAAAATGCCTTAATTAGTGATTTTTGGGATTTTTTTTTCTAAAAAACTACTAAATGAATTCCAATTTTACAAATAGCTTTATAATCTTTAAACCGTCGAGTATAAGTTGGAATATTTTGACAAGGATAAATGGTTTCTATCTCGCTAAAAACGTGGACCCAAATATTTCGAATATGCCTTTCGAGAGTATCCCGCTAAGCGTGTACAACGGTTGAGGTGCTGTAGGTGCTCGAATCTTTTCGACTTTTTTAATAATGTAATATATATATATATATATATATATATATATATATATATATTATATATAATGAAAAATATCTGATAATTGATTAAATGAAATTTTAATTTTATTTAATACTACGTGGGTAAGTAAATACTGGGTTACTTACTAAATATTCTCCATTTCACTAAAATTTCTTAGATAATTCTAAATTAGCGCCAACGATATTTGCTCCGTGCGTGACTATGGTAAGGGTACATTGAAAATACATGTAAGGTGTGCAAATACATGTTGCGTAATTTTTACCTTTAGATGAAGGACTTACAGTTTTGACTCTATTTTTATCTAAACTGTATGACCCTCAAAATAAGTTTAAAAAATATCATGAATGCATAAATGAATTAAGATATAATATTGCATTAAAAAAAATGCATCAATGAAAAATTACCACCTTCGAAACCAGCATTATTACAACATTACTTAAGAGCAAAGTGGCAAATAAATGAATGGATTCAAGCAAAAAACAATATTATTTCATCTCTTGATCCATTAACCCATGGTTGGACAATGGAAAATAATTGTTTCGATTTTAATTATTTTGAAGGCGAAACTAGTTTAGATATTTTACAAAAGTATTTCTGCTCATGTACCGGAAAATGTTCTACGAAAAATTATAATATTATTTCCTATAATTTAGAATGCTGCGCAGTATGTACATGTACACCAGAGAATTGTAAAAATGTTAAAGACGACTTTATTGAAGACAATGAAATCAGCTTATTAGATGGAAATCCTGTTGCTGTTGACGAAAATATTCAAATTATTGACAATGAAAACGATGTATAAATAATATTATATTTTTATTTTATTATATTTTTCAATGAAAATTTATTATATATTGCTTAATGTATTTGGGTACCACGTTTTTAGCAAGATAGAAAAAAAATTACCATTGTCAAAATATTCTAACTTGTAATCGACGGTTCAAAGATTATAAAGCTATTTGTAGAATTGCAATTCATTTAGTAGTTTTTTAGAAAATAAAATCCCAAAAATCACTAATTAAGGCATTTTTTCAACAAAACAAATGCAAATAACTCGAAAAGGAAGCATTTTTCGAAAAATTATCAAGAGAGAAAAAGTGTTTATTTTGATGAGATACACCTAAAAAAATTGATTCCGAAGCAATTAGGTGAAATTGCTTTTGTGTATAAGGTATTTGTTAATAACAATTGCCGGCCCACTTGTAAAAATTAAAAAAAAATACATTTCATCTTGGAAAAATATATAAAATCGAATAAAAAAGGTTTGGTGCATTAGAAATGCAAAAAAAATTTAGTAGGTATATTCTGTTTCTAAGCGTCTTTTGAGGGGTAAACCGCTCGCCTATAGTGTATTCGTTGATTTATACAGGGTAGTCCTTAAATAATCGTACAAAAAAAAAACAATAATTTCTACACTTTAAAATATTACGATTTAAGTCAACGTGCAAAATGTTGATATTAAGAGAGATACAGGGTGTTAAAGTTAAAATATACAAATCATGAATGTGTAGCTTGTGTGAGTCCATTTCAAATAGGTAAAGAAATAATAAATAAGACTTACAATCAATTTAATTTAACTATTCAGACGACCGGTTTCGCTTTCTACAATATGCAAAGCATCTTCAGGTCTCGATACAAAGTTAAATAAATGCTGAAATAATAATAAACCCATATTAGGGTGTTGTCTAATAAAGATAAACAAAGTAGATGTTATAAAATTACAATAATTATGCCAATATTACATGTCTGTGGTTTTTCAAAATGAATAAAAAGGAATAAAAAGGTATAAAAAGTTTTAACAGACAAGGTAAGACCCACAAATTGTTATAAAATAGTCTATTAGATTGTAATAAATTAATAAATGAGCAAATAAGTAAAACATTACTTACATGCCGGTACTCTATTAATTGATGGATGGTAGAACATGGTTGAAACTATCATTTATTGTTGAATGGAGAACTTAAGTCTGCTATTGTAGTTGTTTGACAATAAACGGGAAGTTCTTGAGGAGATAGATTTGATCCAATGAAGTAGAGATAGGTATAGAGATAGGATAAATCACATTACACATCTTAATTCCTTATTTCCCTTTTAAAACCAATTTATTTAATTTACTGCAAAATTGTTTCTCATTAACTTTCTTTTTATTTACTATAAACAAATTTTATTATATGCAAATTTTCTGACTTATGAATTCAATTCATTTTTATCAATGGCTTTATGATATGAGTTTAAATAAAATATATGGTACATACAACGCTTATTTCACAAACAAATTGACTGACTTTTTTTATCTTCTTTCTGCGATGTCTCCCAACGGATACTGACTTAGTGTCCGTATTGTGTTCCCGAAATACTACCCAATTTTCCAAAACATGTGTGGCCCTGCTTTATCCCGCCAAAAACTGTTACACAAAAACAGCATTCGTTCAGTTTCTTTCCAAATTAAAAAAAGCACCTCCGACTCGTTTCAAAATAATAATAATGGGACTCTTTCTGCAAATTACGTCTCCCGCCTCTAATGGTTATATTGTAAAACCGTTATTTACCTTTTTTCCTTTTCTTACAGATTTGAGAGTCTCTTCGGACACAAGGAGTTTGATATTCTCACCTTGGGTCTCGATTCGTCTACAACTATTCTTCTCACCAACTAAAACTCACACACAAAAACCTATACTTCTTTTTCACACACTGTTCTCAAACTGGACTTCTTGTTCTCGATCTTAAAAACACAATGATTCAAATCTCCTGGTTCAATTTTCAAAACTTCGTCCTATCTCCTTCCGTAGCATTTTGTAGCCAATCAACATTCATTCATACAAATTCATCCCACTACCAAACTTCAAATTTTCCTAATTTTAAATTTCAATAAATCAAGCGTGTTTACTGTGATTGGTTTTCCCCCAATTAACAGGATAAGATATCGACAAAGCTTTTTTGTTTTGCTACAGACAATGCCCTTGTAAAGTTAACATCTTTCAAGCATACCTCGAAGAAAATTACAACCCATTTAACTAACATTAAAAGAAAGCATTAGATTTTTCCCACGTCTCTAATAACATCTTTATCAACGTCTGTTTTGCTTGTAAATCTTAGAAGGCACAGATTAAAGCAAAATCTGAATCTGAAAATTAGTTTACGGATTTTAATATCAGATGTCGCTATTTGTGTCCATTCGAAGCCATGTTAGAGTTGCTTCCTAAGACGAGAAGAGATTTATTTTCACGTTCAGAGCGACTATGAACCGCCGTTCTGACTAGGCTTATTAGGCCAAAATGCGTATAAGCGGCTACATAGACGCACTATATGTGAAATTAAATCACACACACACACACACACATAGGTTCATCCCAACCCTAGGAACATGAGTGTACCACTGCTAGACAGTGGGACCCCCATGTCCGAAGATCAGACCGGTCTCGTTCCAAAAGAACAAGTCATTTTGGCTCGGTACCTATCTGACCCCCAGGTTTTTCCACCACCCCTCCTATACGTCTGACATACGCAGAGGAGGCTATGAACTATTACGTCGGGCGATTTTGGGAAAAGAAAACACCCTCCGTTTTCCTTGACTTGTGGTTAGGCCACCTGACTGTAGGGGTAGCTTAATGTAGCTTTTCTCCCTATTAACTTTACTGAGTTTAATTATTGCATGACTTGGGCTCTGTGTCCCTGAAGATGTGTGTCCGATCAGGGGTCGGCAGCAGGCTGCCGGCCCTCTGTTCGGAAGTTGTGTGCTCGATCAGACAGTCGCCAATTTGGCAAAACAAGTTTTGGTCTCCTTGCCGGCTGAGTGATCGATAGGTCTGGCCATCGAGCCCGTATTTGTCGCACACGGCCTCGATGCTCAGGTTTCGCGGTTGCCTCTAGGGCAGTTTGGTCCTGAAGGGCTGTTGCCTGAAGGGTCTTTGCCTGATGGGCGTGCCTGAGGGCCTTAGCTTGCGAGCTATAGTGAATTGGACTGTGTCCAGTTATTTTTGTTCTTTTCTTTTAATAGTTGTTTATTTAACTTTACTTTACTTGTAACAGTTTGTTGGTTAGTGTAGGTTTTGGGTGAAATAA